GCTTCCCCTCTTGTGGCCATCCCAAGCCACAACAGGCCAGCCACCGCTCCCTCCCCAGCCTCCTACACCGTTTCCATCTCCCAAACCAGACTGTTCCTCTTTCAGCACTTACTAGGGACAAAGTGATGTCTTCTGTTTAAAGCAGTCTTTTTTTTAAGATTCCCGGAGTCTCTTTCTCTCCATCTGTCTATGGATCTTTCTATCTCTTCTAAAGACTCATATCTTCTTTCATGCTTTTCTCATGCTTTCAAAGCCTTGTAAATTGATGTCAATGAGCAAGATTAGGATCTGGGGCTTCCTGTAACTGGTGGGTGCCACAACAATCTGTTAAGTGGACTTATATATTTGATTTGCTCTTTTCCAAAAGTTTCTGTTGTGTTGCTTTCACACTTCAAAAGTCATTATCTGGTCTCTAAAGGTAACCATCTCAGCTGGTATAGGAACGGTCCATTTTTCTACTGTGTGCATGACGGTGACTGGGTGCTCAGTCCTCCTTACTCCTAAATGTACAGCCTTACTACTGTTTCCGTAGCACTCATCTGATCTGCAGTCCATGCTGATGGTAGTATCTAACTATCAATGCAGCGATCAAGGCAGCTCAGATGGTTCTAATGAATGAGTCAACCCCAAACTTAAAAGCTAATCAGCTCCTCCAAAGTAATAATCTCAATGCAAAACTGCAAACTGTGCTGATGATGCTGGGAAAGGAGGAATTTTGTGCAGTGTGCCACTCATTTGCATGAGCTCATTATTCAGAGACAAGCTGTTAGAAAACTTGGACAATATTCACTGCAATTTCCCTCTTTTATGTTTTTTTTTTTCTTTCTCCTGCACGTAGAATGAAACAAGATTTCCACCCAAAAAGTATGAGGCATTGGGAATACCATGTACTTTTGAAAAAAAGGCACTGCAGCTTCAAAAATCGTCTTGTATTTCTTCCCCTGGAAAGGGAAAACATGTTAAAAAGCAAACAAAGAATGAGCTGATTTTGATCTCTTGAAGAGATATACAGAACAGAATAGTTCTACTCAAGGTTTTAAGAATTTTATATTTTATCACTTTTGGCTGCAGTCAAAAAGTCCTAGTAGCAGACTGGGTGGATAAATGGAAAAACAACACGAAAATATTGCAAAACTCTGTTTGAAAAAAATACTTGTAATGTTGACTGGCTCTTGTGAATACTTTCCACTTCCAGATTAAGCTTTAAGCATGTTATTAAATACTTTGTGGCATTGGGGATTCCATCCAAAAGAAGACAGTTACCAGAAAGGAACAAGACAGTTAAGCTCTTTCAGATACAGCGAACAGCCCCTTGAGCTTTGCCCCAAACTCACTGGCTCTTCCCAGTCACATCAAGCATCATTGCTTAACCCTGTTATAAACATGCATATCGTCAAACATGTACTGTGAAGGTATTGCTGTACTGCTGTATTGATTAAACCCTGGCTTATAAGTTGATTGAGGTCTCAAAGCTTATTCTACTAACTGTCTGCCCATTTTCACGATGTGTTCTTCATCTTGCTATTCAAGATGTGCACACCACCCTACCTTCTTTTCACCTCAGCTTTGGGAACACCTAGCCCTGCCCCTCTGCTTTTGAACCTCAGTCATATTTTTGCTTTAAATAATCTCATGATCAAAAAGACAGTTTTAAACTGAATATTATTTCACATTAGTGGAAAGAAGTGTGCTAAAAAAATGCATATGCTTGAACATTCTATGTTAGCTGTATGGCACTGCAGGGGTAAATCAGCTAGTGCATGTATTTATCATCACAGGTGAACAATTACACACCATGCAAGCATAATAGTTTCTGAAGAGATTCTGGTACCCTGATCAGAGGCACCTCACAACCGACCAGTAAACCTGCTGGTGGCTAAAGCTAACTCATCTGAATTCAGGACACCTACCAACAACCTTCTTCCAATTTGATCACTGGTAGGACCATCTGAGAATTTACCTCTGTTTGCTTTTAGTGGCCACAGATGTCGAAGAAATTCTGTCAATTGGGGAGCCAAATCCTGGGAAACTTCTTTTCTTCTTGGTCTCAGACACCTCATTCTCCAGAGACACCAGCTCATCAAGAAGGAACTGTTTGGCTGCCAGGTTGGTGGCTGACTTCTCTTCACTATCAATGGGATGTGCTCCCATGCCCAGAGCAGCAGAAGGCTCCAAAGGCTGCAAAAGAAAGCGGGGATGTTTGCCTGCTGCTCAGGTTCCAGAAAAACTACTTCAACCAGTGTCACAGCAGCAGTTCTATAAATACATAATCACTAGGATGCTGAATCTTGGACAATGTTTTAAAACAAAGTTTCTTCAGTGAAAGGTGGCTGTTTTCCACCTATGGGAGTTTGCCATAAAAGGTTGGGATTATTTTTTTTTAGTAGAATTGAACTTGCCTTCATTATTATTGCAAGAATTATGAAAATTTATTACTTCACAAAGCCTGTTTTTGTAGGCCAGCCCACTATTCCTATCTCAGCAGTGTGATTAGTATCACTTAGAGCCTGAGCTGAGTAATTTAATCCTTTCAAAAAATGCAATAACCATTACCAGACTCCAATATCCATCCTCATCTTTTTCAGGAAACCGATTTTCATTTTTGTAAATGAATGTTAATAAATAGTAATGAAAACTTATACAGAATTTACTACCCAAAGTTAGTTAATTAATTGCTATGCAAAAAATATCCCAAGATAAACTTGCTCAGCACTGACATTGAAAGAATTTATGCAGTAACACTACATAGGGAGGAGGAAAGGAAAGAACAGTATGCTGAATCAGCACAGCATTTTGAACCTTAGTTATGACATTAGGCTTAACACCTTTTCAAAACCGAACTCTATTTTGCTACCCAGAATAGCTGAGAATATTGGGGTCTATCAAGAAAGAAGTGAAACAAACTGAAGTGAAATAGTGCTTTGCAAATAAAAGAAAAATATAGGGCAGCAGCTAGTCGATGAAAGCAGGTGTTGAGCTCAAATCATTCTCTCTACAGATGAAATGTTTGCCTTCTTGCTCCACTTGATCTTCATGGAATTAGATAAAAATTTCTAACCAAAAACTTTTATTATATGCCTTGAAGCAGGTTTTCCTCTATCTTCAGAAGCACACCACTATCTTTCTTATTCTTACACAGTGGGTTTAGTACATGTAAAGGAAGCCATCACATGGATGATGCAATATGCTTGTCTGCTGTGGTCCACACCATAGCTGTGGTGGTGATGTTTTCCACTACTGATGGGTGGCATAACGGGTGATGGAGTGTATAAAGCTCTGATTTTTATATAAGGAGTAGCACACAACCACAATGATCACACAAATGACGTAGCATCATTAATACTTTTGTAAAGGATCTCATGCTGTCCTCTGACTAGTTCTTTGAGCCTCAAGTGAACTGAGCAATCCTTTCTGTTGCCTTTCAGGGTTCTAAAACTTTCATAGAGGTTTGCAACAAAATTATGCATTTAAAAAAAGACTGAACTCTCCCCTCTGGTTACTGAGGATAAATATCTACAATAATGCTTGAAACTAGAACGTCAAAAGTAGCCTCTGCTCTTGAGTAGTTTGGGCAGTTCCACTTACTTTAAAGATAAGTATATATAAAAAGATATAACAGAATTGTAAGAAGTAAAAAGACAGCTAAAATGATAAACAGGAGTAAACAGAATTTTTCCTATGTGAACCACTGAACAAAGTACAACTTCACAGACAAGTGGAGATAAGCGTGGGGTACAGGGGGTACAGTGGAGAGTTTCTAAACTTATGAACAGCAAAGAGGTGGATGAAGACTAGTAATCTTTTTCCCTTAAGAAAAATAGCTCCTCAGTCCACCTAATGAAGTCACCAGATGGTGGATTCAAAATATACCTAAGGATCTACATTTTAAACACAGCACATAGACGAATTGAACTGCATTGCCAAAGGGTGTCATGGATACCAAGATATTAAACTCTTTCAAAACCAAATTCAGGTCCATCAGCAGCCTAAAACATGCCCTGGTCCAGTGCATGTCTCTGGATCAGGAAGTCCCTGAAGATGTTCTGTTCTCATATTGTTTTCACAAAAATCTGTCACTGATAGAGACAGGATACCCGGTCTCTGTGGCATCAGAACAGCAGCTGCTGCAGCACTAATGTGGGGAGTGGTTCCCCAAAGCCCTATATATATATATAAAATATATAT